TTTGCTTACTTATGATAGATGAGGCATTTTTCAACTTCGAAGTACGGATCGATGGTCACATCAGCGGATTTCAGCATTGGATTGCTATACAACGAATCGGTATCCCAGTACTCATCTTTTGGCTGCGGTTCGGCCTCTGCGATACGAACAATTTCGGTATCATGGGGTCCAATGATCTGGAAACAAAAATTATAGTGTACTTTACACTGACGACTTCGTTAATATTACCACTTTTTGAGGAGAAGGAGAGAAACAAAATAAGAAATGAGCTCAAAATGGATTGAAAGTTGCAGCATTTTAACCAAGACATTCCTACTGTTCTATATTCACAGCTTCACTTTCTTTCAAAATCCAAAAATCTCTAAATAATAAATTTCCTTCTAGGATGCAAAAGAGAAGCGCTCTATAGAAGTATTTTCTAACTCGAAAATGTCATGCTTCCTCCATTCTAAAAACATCATTATAGGCTGTCTCTCATTTACTTTGTAGTTACAGAAGAAAATATACCCACTGCTTGATTTTTTATAACTCTAATACTTCTAAATATCTTGGGGTTTATAATGATTCTTTCTGAAAGGCTCAAGTGAACTTAGATTTTCAAATACAAACGGATTTAATCTTTAGGGTAGAATTAAAAATGAAAATATGGCTTTAACGGAGAAACACATCGCTGGAATTTGGCCCAAAGACGATCCTAATAACGCGGGAAGCTATCTCTTGATGTTAATCGGTACGCTGAGCCGATTATGTATAATAAAAGGGTTGACGTCAAACAGTACGACCTTTTTGGATTTGTAAAGGAGATAGCAGAAAAATTTGTAACAAGTGATTAAAGCAAACCTGTGCTCCATTACTCCAGTAAGCCTTGTAACCATTGTCTTCCTTAGGATTATGTGATGCGGTTATAATCAGTCCAGCATCGCACTTTAGTTTGATAGTAGCCCAAGACTAAATGAACAAACGAGTAGAAAGTGTAAAGCGGTCTAAAGCGTTAGTTTAATTCTTAGTCATTCGCTTTCAGTGACTCGATCTGCACAATTTCTACTTGTTCATCACCCAGTTCGCGTATTTCGTCAAAATATAAAAAGTTTGCAATTTCCTCAACACTAATGTAAATAAAGGATATTTCAGCACAGCCTCAATTTGTGTTCTTCGACTTGATTGGCTCTGCTACTCACATTTGCTAATATGAATAGTTTTTTATACTATATATATATCTATGGGTTTTAGCGAAATAAGAAGTGAAAATGATAATCTGCATTTTTGCAGTGTATTCGCCAACCGGAAGATTTTCTTCCAAGATTCCCACGCCGCACTAACATTCACTACTATCCTAAATTCAATAATTTCTGTTTTCTACCTCAAATACATAGTCACTGCAAATCTGTTATATTTCTGATTGCCCTACATGTTCGACAAACTTTTATTCAGTTAACCTTACTTT